ATGGGCCGTACAGGGGAACAATATCACTCCATCTGTCACAAACCGTTTCATCTCTTATGGGATGAAATATAGCTCACAAATACATCTACCTCTGTATCATCTATGTGTATTAGCTTACTGGTGCCCAAGCCTCTACTAATTCCCAGAAGCATACGCAGTGGCTTTTTGTCTCATATTACCTTCCTCCCACCAGCCAGCACTCTCCAACCACCTTGCAAATTATGCTTTTAAGCCAAACAGCATGTTAAAAGAATTATTCCACTTCACACAGTGAACCAGTTAATGAAAATGAAAGTAACGAAATTTACATGTAAAAAGTTCCAGAATAAATGTGCAGAGCAGCAAACCTGTAAGCTTAATGAGAGAGAAAGCACATATTGTATTAGGAGGAAATAATGAAAAAAAAACAAAAACAAAAAAACGTAAGATGCAATCTGCTAATAACCAGAGAGCTCTTTCATATTCAAATGGTGCTGCTGCTGCGTTTGGAGGATGGGTGTGGCCGGCTGATTCTTCTTGCCTCCTGAGCTGTCGCGGCTTTGTGACGTCCACATCCCCCTTTCCTCGATCAAATTATGCTATCGGACTGGTCACTGTTCAGTGCCAAGGACAAAATGACAACCCAAACAATACCTATCAAAGTCCACGGATCTGCGCACTGATCTCCGACAAAACAAGGTAGCTCAGTGATCCGGTAAGCTGTAAGAACAGCACAAAATGGCCTGACTGTTTACTGGAGGGAGAAATGAAAAACAAAAACCCATATCCCCAAGAGCCATCATGCATCTCTCTCAGCAGCAGGTAGAGCTGCAATCTCAGTCATTCATATTTAATTCCACAAGAGTTTCCGGCCAGACTAATGTGCTATTGATTTCAAGTCTCCTATTACTGAAACGGGGAGGGCCATGAGGGAGAGAGAGCTGGACTAAAGGGAGTGAGAGCAAGAGATTGAAAGAGGAGAGGAGGAAAAATGAAGATGGAGGGGGAGAAAACAGTGTGCAATGGCTAAACCAGTGAGTTTTTCTAGGAAACATTATCATATTCCATTTGGACAGCCCATGTTATCTATCTAATAATCTGCTCTTTCTCTGTCAAGTAGATACGGAACAAATTCTACATGAAAGCACAATGAGTACATTTCAGGTTGAGGCAGGAAATGTGTTTTATATTATTTATTGCTCATTAAAAGTCAGGGCATTTAGACAGTTCATGAAGCTAAAAACAGCTCAGCTTAACGGGAGCAAGCATACTTGCACCTCTTCTATTCGTTTTATGTCTGTCACTTGTGTGTTTTTTTCATGTTGGATAGAAAAAGTGCAGCAGTAAAAAGAGCGAGAGAAAAACAAAGAGAATGTCTAAGAGCTTTGTGTATTTAAGGTCTCTCCCTAGATACCGACTCAGACAGGACAAAATGAAAGATTAATAACCACGGCTTTATATCTAAAAAGGTCTTGAGTAAAACATGGTCTCTGTAAAAGAGGTTAGTCGTTCACCCAACCTCAAAGCAACATGAACATTCATACACACACTCATGAACATACAAAGGTGGCACAGTTGATGTTCACATGTATTAATATATACCTGCATGTTAATGTTTTTTTTCTGTAATCAAATAATGAGAATGTGGCACATAAACATTGCCTGATAAGGTTAAACATATCTCATACTGTACTGAATACATACAAACAAAAGACACATAGCTGTTCACTGAGAATTAAACAGGCACAAGGAAAGCAGAATATAATCCGTAAATAAAAAAAGATGACAAGAGCGTCTACTTCAGAGACTTCCTCCCACCAGCCTGTCTACTCTAATAATAGCCCAGAGACAACACATCCAGACAGACAGAGGGAGAGAAAGATATAGAGAAAGAGAAGAGAGAGACAGAGAGAAAGTGCAAGAGTGAACCCATGAGGGAGACCACAAGAAAATTGCCAAATACATAAAGGGTTGAATTAGGCCAGTTGCCATTATCAACAAATGTCCTTTTAAAAAGAGGCTAATTTAATTTTGGATCTTTTCCTGAAAGCAATAACTGCTTCACTGCTGCTGCCACAAAACCCTGAACTGCCAAGAGCCAGGCCTAGTGGAGAGACCACTGAATTAACCAGACCTGAGGCTGAATCATCCTACCCATCCCCCAGATACACTGTCATAGTGTCACTCTCTCGCTCTCCCTCTCTCCCCCTCTCTCCTTCTTACACACACACACACAAGGCCACTACATTACCGCAGGGCAATGGCAACAGGCATTCATTTTGACGTAATACTACGAGAATAATAGAGATGAGAAACAGAAAAAGCTAGGGTAAGGAATTCAAAACTACAGGGTTTTTCACAATTTACAAAGTTAAGTATCATCATATATTTACTATTCAGAGTTCAAATACATAATACATTTATAAATCATATCCTACTGGCATATTCTTGCTGTTCTGGTAGTGCTGTATAGACAAAATTGTAAAATAAAAAGTAAAGATTCTATGTAAAATGTATGCATTATTCTGCTCCTTCTACTGTATTTTCTATGCTAATTGCATAGTTAGCAGTGTGAAGCTTAGTATGCTTCCTCTGTGGGCTTATGAACTTCAAAATCAGTGAACTAATTTTGTAAATGCTTTGAGCTTTGAGTTTATCCGTCTGACACCAAAGAGCATTCCATGATATGCCAGAGAAAAAGGACCATTGCAACAAGACTCCTAATCACCACTAGTGAAGGAACCCTAAACAATAAGAAAATAATCAGTAGAATAACAAAAAGCCTTTTAAGTAAAACCAATGCTTGATCCTTTGATTCAGTAATGTACAATAGGCGCTTCAAATGCCCTCTTACCCACATGGAGGATTCAGCTGCTGTGCTACTAACCAGGGCTCTAATGAGGGGCCACAATTAAGCCCATTTATTCACATTAAGTGTGAACTGTAAGTGGGGCTGCAGTCAGTTGACGGACCTGGGTGCCTTTGTGTTACAAGAGCTGCTTTTATTCAGCAAACAAAGATGGAAAAAACACAAGCACCTAATGACCGAATCTCGCTGTCTCTTCTCAGACGTTCATACACACCGGCAGAAACACACACAAACGTGTGTGCAAGCACACATAGACACACACTTTTCCTCCCTCTCTAACAAACTGACTCAAAGGCTCCAACGCATCCAGGCTGAGTTGAGTCACTGCTTGACAGAACGGTGGGGGCGGGGTTAAGACAGACTGACAGTGGGGCTCCATCTCTATCCTCTTATTAACGCTTAACGAGTGCTTTCCTCATGCAATATTCATCTCCGCTAATATCATCCAAGCTCTGAGCCGAGCTTGCTACTTATGTAAGGCAATTATGTAAAATATCAGACAGGGCCCATGTTCAAAATCTGACTGGAAGAGAGCTGCAGGACAATGACAGAAAGAAAGAGGGGGTATACACGAGTGACCGGGAAGGAGAGACTGGAAGGTGGGAGAAACCACAAGAGACATACAGTGAGAGTAAATAAGTTACTTTTGTGCTATATCTTCATCTGACTATAGGCTGCAATCCATCCACAGATCCATCAAAGGCAAGTGTCAGTGTCAATAATGCAAACAATTATCTCCCTCACACCACCACTCCTTACAGCCAGAGACATCTGAGGACTCCTCAAGGTCAGTTAGGGAGAGCAGAGCAGAGAAACTGATTGTTGTTGCAGTAAAGGCTCACACCACTCCACTCACACACACGAGACATTCATTCTACACAAAGCACAACCTCCCTTCACCATCTCACTTCCTCACATGTACAGCAACCCCAGACTCGTACACAAATAAACAAACATACACTGATTTAGGGCCCCCCCCCCACCGCCACCCCCACCCC